GCACCACTCCCGGCCTGAAAAAAATGCAAAACGGATCGGATCACTTCCAGACAGTCGCGCGATGTAGACAGATGTACAGATAGACAGATGGACCAGTTAACATGGACCAACAATCTCACCAGTGTTGCAGGATCACCACGGTTGCCTTTTTTGCAATACATGCGTTCCTGTCTTCCGTCTTTGAATTATTGCAAGTGCGAACTGAGCAAAACAAAATCCTTACTGTACGGGAGAAACCGTACTACCATTCAGCCCCGTAAGATTCTTTCCATAGGGGAAACTTTGGTCGCTCTGCGGGACGGGATAAAATTATCCGATCGGAATAAAATTTTGCACACATCCTTGTGTCATAGTATTGACAAGATTTCCGACCCGGCCCGACGAATCCGACAAACTTTTCCAAAATGGACCACCCTAATGTGCACTTTTTATTTTTATTCCAATAGTGCATAAGTACGAGCACACACTTATTTGACACTTCATATAGCAAGCGTAGAAAGAAAAAAAGGGAAAGAAATTGCGAAATTTACGATTAGCATTCACTTTCACTTACATCAATTTCTTGGACAATGTCTTTTATTTTGCTTCCTCCGGCTTTCATTTTGATCACTTTTCCCCTCTCTTCCAGCGTCAGAGCTCTTCATAGCTGCTTGACATCCAAAGGTCCGTTTTGTAGCCATTTTAGCAATGCAACGTTCTTGCTGCGTCTGAAACTAACAATAACAAATACTTCCTGGACTACTGCGCATGTGTAAACCAGAGTGGTGGTTGCTGTTGCCGTTTCCGAACGAAGCAGTAGAGGTCCCTGTTGGATTAGACTTTGTTGTAGGGAATATTGTCGCGAGGCAAGAGCAGAGAAAAAGATTTCGTATCACGCAACAGGGTTTTTTTTTTTTGTTGTATGGGGGGCAGGAAAGTGGGAATGGTGTTAATGCATTAAGATTTTTTCACACTAGGGGCTATTTTCGCCCATGTAAGTTTCGTTGTAGAGGAGTTTCACTGTACCCGGAACCCGGAAGCCATACGGAAGCCTGCAGTGGTGCAAACACAAGCAAGTCCCGCTTGATACTACGGAATAACTGTCCACGCCGCTATTTACTCTCATTGGATCCAAAACGGCGACATGTAAGTGACTCTATTAGCATGAGTTTTACTGGAATAGTGAACGATTGTTTTATTTCGTTCACAGCTCCGAGTTTCCTGAACGCAAAATACTTTGAGCTGCTCTGCCATTGGCTACTACCGATCATCATCCTGGTCTCCCATTGACTAAGATGGACGTCAATACAGTATGTGTGTAGATAGCTAGATCTGTGGAAGAGAGTGTGGATTGCCTCCGATTAGCTGCTCAGAGTAAATTGCTTGTGGCTCGACGGACAGTCGAGTAAACGAACGTTTCCTGGAATGCTTTACCTGTTATGCTAAAAACCTTACGCTAACTGCAGCGCTAATTAGAGAGAAGGCGAGTTCCATCGCGCTAACAATGGGCATCGAGGACTTCGAAGCGTCCTGTGGCTGGCTTTAAAAGTCTAGTGCATGGCATCAGCTGAGCAACGCTGTCTTGGGTGGCGATCGAGGGGGAGGTCAAGTTAGAGACAGTGAGTGAGTGGAAAGAAAAGCCACCAGGTCTGTTACTAGTCTCATTTTGTAGCAAATTGTCCTAAATTTGTTTTGACTGTATTTTGTTCATATACCTGTACAGTGTACTGCAGCTTTTGTGTTATAAACAGTGTTTGGAGCATATATTTTTGCATTTCATTGCTTGTGTTGTTACACATGTATTTTGTTCACATACTTGCATGTTCATAAAGGACATGTACCATAGTCGTATCCCACATATGGAAATTCTGTTTTCAGGAAAGATTGGACAGCGCAAATAGGATTCCTTATTAGAGAATACGTACTGTATATAATGTAACCATAACTCCTTTTTTAATAAGTAGCATGCCCAAAACTGTTGAGGACACACAAGGAAACATACCTACACCAATTTTTCTGGCGACTTATTTTCACATCATGGATAGGGACTTCATTCTATGTTATTGTGGTGCAGTTCGTGGTTCCAACAGTTTTTTGAAACTGATTCATTTTAAGGGTCTAAAGGCTCTGAGTCTTACATCGGTGTGTTGGCATGTCACAAAGATTAAGTGGCCATTAGGAAACAAACAATAACACAAATCTCAGGTAACGGTTTGATCTCTGCAGTATGTCTGCAATATTGTAAGCAGCGAAATCTGGTAATTGATTGTAAAGGGTAGACAATATAGACTCTCGAATTGGGTCAGCATTTCACCATCTGGTTGGACCATACATTCTGAGAACCACCAATATCATCATGTATCATTAACCAGGGGTGAACAGTAACATTTTGGGATGGTTCTCAAATGAGCACCAAAGGTTGTTGTTTGGACTCAAGGATGAACTTCTATCATATTGTTAATTTGTAACTTTGTCACATGTCCGTCACTAAATATTTTTTTCTCTTTGTTCCCCTTTCTGTTTTTATTTCCTAATTCCAGCAACATTATACCTGGGCTACACAATGGCAGCTTATTAAAACACAATTTACTATCAGAAATCATATTTCACACAACTGAGTTGCATGGCCCGCGCCCATTCGAAGAGTTAAGTGCCTACCTGTGACTTGCAGTACGGGACCTTGTGATCAGTTAGCTTAGCACAGTGGCCAACCATCACCAGTCCACTCTATTTTTGCACCAAGGACCGCTTTTGCGACATACTTTGACAGACCTGCGAACTGTGGCGCAGCAACACAGAGATAACTGCCTCGCCAAGAGCTCTCCTGCACGCATTCAGCAACCATCTCAAGGCGAATGTAGCATTAACGGGAGACAGCCTATAGTAAAGCCAGCTGCCTCAACGATTGTTCATAAACTACTATGCAACCTGCTGCAAGGGTCAACTTCAAAATAAAAGCATACAAGTAACAAGTATTAAAGTACATTGATAGCAATGCCTTACCCAACTTTGATTTTGAAGTTGGCCCTTGGAAGCATTCGTTGCAGTGTCTGACTTGACTTTGAATTGAGGCTGGCCTGACCTATAGTGCACAAAAGTGCGATGACAGACTTGAACTGGAGCACCGGATTCAATTTCCAGTTCTCATGAGCTATTTCAGTTATGTGGAGTAAAGCCGACTGCACAAAACAAAAAATTTGGATGATGAACTTCACTTTGGCTGTAATCGAGACTACGCCTCCCTCTTCGTTCTTCACACTGCATTTTTTTATAATCAACGGGATTGTAGTAGCAGGAAGTTATGCTTTACAAAACATACCCAATGGCCCAGGTAGACAGGGAGGATTGGCTCTTTTCTCTGCTGCAAGAAGAAGATGACCATGAGAGCGAAGGAATATGAGGGGATTCCACCCTCGGCTTGACAGTCAATGTGACATAGCTGCAGATAAATAACAAAGCCGTTGACTTTACAAGCACATTAATAAAAACTTGGGTGTATATAATACATTTCAAGGGACTAAAGAACATTAAGACAACATGACCAAATGAAAATGCAATAGAATTATAGTCAACTGTATTTTTTAAACTTTAGGCAGAAAAATTTACAAGTTAGGCTTGAGTCAACATAACTCAACAAACATCAAGGATTCTAGTACAGTTATGTCGATTTTTAACTTTGACCGCTTTGTCATTTGTCTACTCACCCTTGCCCAGTACCGGAAAGCCAGCACCAGGGGAACCAACCTGGGTTCCATTTTAGCCAAGGCTGCCATGTGATTTGTCGTGAGACAAGCAACATCATTGCCTGCACTCACTTTGCAAATCAAGCCACTGTAAAATGAACAAAAATAAATGTCAGATTTCATGATTAACTTGTCAAAAGTACTGGTAACTTTGTTGAATTAATATTGTGAAATTCTTGCTTTAGTTGTTTGTGTAATTAAAAAAAAAAAAAACATTTGCTAGTTTTGTACATTTTTCTCAATAGTCAACAAGATTTCCAGTTTTCTTTAATCAACAATTATGTAATTATACATAATAGTAGGCTGTATACTAATCTGAATTAGACTGAATAAACACAACAAAATGATGATAACATTTATTTTTTGTAATACTGTACACCAGCAGTCCCCGGGTCGCGGACCGGGTACCAGTCCCTAGGTCATAAGGTGCCGGTCCGTACAGAAAGAATAAATACTTACATTACAACCGTTTTATTTATTTCGGAGTCTAAAAGATGTTTCACTTCGAAAAATTACCGGATTCTCTGTTACATCGTCTACAGCAGGGGTCCCCAACCTTTTTTGCCCCACGGACCGGTTTATGTCAGACAATATTTTCAGGGACCGGCATTTAAGGTGTAGCGCAAATAATACAACAAAATAATATGGTATGAGCTGCATGGAAACTATGGTGTTTTCGAAATATAATAATAAACACAAGGAGCGTCTAATCTGGCCGCAACACTCTCTCTGATCGCTATGGTAATGTTTAATGCCTTCAAAATACGATACAGCGCAAATTCAAAGTGCATGAAAATGACGACTCACCACAGCCCCGAGCTTGATTTTCTGCAACCAGACGGTCCCATCTCGGGGTAATAGGAGACAATGACACCTCAAGTGTGTGTTTTATGTCCAGTCTACTTCGTAATTTTGTTTT